GAGTCTCTGGCCATGACACCAGCTGCCTCGGTCTCTGGACTTTACTTCTCACACCCTCAGGCTTCGTACTTCGCTGTGGGAAAAATCACCAAGGAACAGGTGATTCAGTTCATCACAGATTCAGTTTCAACACACTTTACAGACAAACATCAGTTAACTGTGAAGTTATTTACAGATTCAGTTAGGCAACTTGGTGCAGTTAAATTAAGTGTTTCAGAGATAATTACATACTTTTAATTTCAATTTTAGTTATAAAATAATGCAGCTGGTTCGTTTTCCTATATCAGTTGGGCAAATGTTTTCTGTCCCTTCTTCTGGATGAGCTTGTAGAGTCATTGGACAAGAACAACTCCCTTCACCAGAACCATCTCAGTGTGAGGAGTCATCTAAACCAGTAGCAGACAGAACAACACAGGAACACTGATCCAGGAGTACTTTCTATGGGAAAGAAAAGAAAAGGGTTAATGGGAAGAGGAAGTTATTGGCAACAATTGCTCAGCTTATATCCCCCTCCAGGAAGGTGTCTGCTAAACACTAGGCCAGAACAGGAAGAAAACAGAAAGACAACATAAAGTTAACAGCAGCAATAATTGTGGACAATATGTAATAAAGAGTAGGCTGGTGGTAATTATCTCCTCCAGCAGCCTAATCAAAGAAACTCCAACTATAAGCTTCATTACAAAGAAAACTTTTAAGCCTCATTTTAAAAGTAGATAAAACCAATAAAACTGGGATCTGGTTTCTCAGGAGAGGAGCCTGATCACTAAGGATCTGCCTCCTATTTTACTGTTAGAACCTCAAGGAACCAGCAGTAAACTTGCAGTCTGTTAGGGACATATGGGCCAATCAGATCTCTGTATAATGGCGGTGATTATTATGGACTGTGAGAAGGAGAGTCTTAAATTCGATCCTGGGTTTAACAAGGAGCCAACGAATAAAAGCTAAAATAGGAGAAATATGATCTCTGTTTTAATTTTCAGAACTCTTGCTGCAGCATTTTGGATGAGCTGAAGGCTTTTAACTGTATTTTGTGAACTTTCTGATAGTAAAGAATTATAGTAGTCCAGCTTTGAAGTAAGAAATTCATGGACTAGTTTTTAGCATCACAATAATCTGTAGATTAAAAAAGGAAATTGTAGAATCTGTCTAATATGGGATTTAATAACATGTTGTGGTCAAAAATAACACTGAGGTTCTTTACTTTATCACTGGAGGCCAACTTAACAGATCATCATGATGTTTCTCTGTTGGTACCACTAAAGAATCATGACCACATTTAGGTTCTCTTCTGTATCCCAACCTAAATGAGGCCTTTAGCTGTGCAGTATCTTCCTTGTACTTTCTGCAGATTTTCAGCTCAGATCGATGAGTTGATGTTTTCCTTTGACAGAATTTGCTTCTTTGCTCCTCTGCCTGTCAGACTGCATTTCTCTATAAATCACTGACTCGCCTTTCATGCTGATGTTGTCAGAACTCTGCTGTGGTACCATCAAGGTTCTGTAGAGAACCTCTCAGGAGGAGATGTGGTGGAGCTAGCTGGATCTCCTACAGCTGAACCTCTGACCTGTGCAGCTTCCCTTTCAGCTGAAATATTCATATCAGCTACTGTTTATCCAAAGTGTTTTGGCTGCTCCAATAACTGTAGCCAGGCTAAATGCTAATGCTAGCACAAAGTGAATTTAGCACCTATTTCTTAGTGGCCTGCTGATTAGATCAGCAGTTGGGTTCTGTCACTGCTCCTGATATAACATGACGAAAAAAGCTGTTCTTAAAAAAATCAGTTAATCTCTTTGCAGTAAATGATTCTGAGCATTTTACATCAGTTGATCTCTGCTAACAATACAGACAGTTCACTAGAAACCCCCCAGAGGGAAACAGAAATGAGAAAATCACAAGATGACGACTTAAACCTGAGACCCAGAGCAACATCCAGACTGAGGTTCATTGTGTGCAGGTGGAGGACTACGGCAAGAGGAAGGGGACGAGTACAGAGGAAGTGGAGAGGTGGTTGGCTCCCATCCTTGGCTACGAAAAGGAGGCGTAGCGTCGTGGATCAGCTGAGGCTGGAATGATGCTGTGCTGTTCTGTGGTACCACATGCTGCTGCATTTATTACCCACAATGCCTCAGTGTTCGACTTCAAATGGGAATATTTCAAAGTGTTCAGGACCAGTCTGCCACAGTCAGATCAGCTGGTTTTTTGCACTATTCCTGTTTTAGAGTTGGTTTAAAATGTGTACTTGAGATAAAAATTTCATATTAATTTCATATTAGTCAATTTTATTTCATTTTTTACAATGACTATTTGGTTAGAATAATCAGAGTGGTGCCTTGGAGGCTGCAGTGTACTGTCACACATCATCAGGGATCTCAGCATAGAGCAGGGCTGCTGCTGCAGCAACAGAGAGATCCTTAAAAATCAATAAGTATTTCATTTGTAAGCCATGCAGCTGTTCAGAACATAAAAGAAAGTGGGATATTTTATTGCTTTTATTTTTTATTAATAATCTTCTGATATGATCAAACTGCTAATTCTGTTTCTGGAGACTCTACAGGTGCAGACCTTCAGCTTCGACTCAACATTGCTACACCATTCTGGCATTTGTTAATGGTACCTAAAATTACTATTGATGTCAGTTTTTCCTTATAATTTTGAAAATACATTCAGAAGGTAGTCTTGAGTTTATGTTTCTGATGAATGAACATGTTTCTATTGTCTGATAAATCCCAAAGTATCGTTATAACAGTGTTAAATGTGTTTGCATGTTTGTAATTGAGCAGCTTGGAGTAAATAACAAAGATGAAACTTTTTCAGTTTCATCTAAAAGATGTAAGTAAAAATCATTTATGCAAACGTTTTTTTTTTAGAAATTAGGAGAATTTGTACTAAACTAGGTTTTAAACTAACTTCTAGTTGACTGAAACTGGAAAGCTAACCTTTTTTAACATTGTTTTTACAAGCATTATTATTTTTTTCACTAACTGGTGCTCTATGTTTCTTCCTACTGATCTGCTGTGAGGAAGTTCTCAACGTCTTAACTGGAGAAGCAACTGAGAACAAACTGCTGCTCATGTTGTGTCATAAAGCCCAGATGCTGCAGCTGGGTGTCAAACTGACAGCTTGGTATTTTTTAGTCTTTCTAACTGAAATAATGATGGTAACTTGTTGAACATTGTGAGCTGTTATAATAAATGTTTCATAGATAAACTGTCATGTTTCCTGTGTTTTAATTCTTATGTTGACTGAAGTGAGAGCTCTTTGAGCCTTTCCCAGCTGTTAGATAAATGAATGTTCCAACAGGAGGACGTCGTCTCGCTCTCGACCAACTACCTGCCAGAAAGACCAGCAGAAGCAGCAGTGGTCTGTGGTGCAGCGGTTAGCTTTGCTGCCTCTCGGTAACCTCACTGATTCACATCTCAGATGTTTGAACGTGTGTGTTGGGTAAAGCGGGGATTCTGTTTTGTGATGCAGGGTTAATCATCTGATGGCTCCCAGGATGAGGAATGTTCCTTCACTCAACTAGATGGTGTTCTCAAATTCTTTACTGTCTTGATGTCATGCAGTCATAGTTTGTCTGTTGTTTCCTCACATTATTTTTTTTTCTGTTAAAACTAATTTATTCTCAATAATAACTTCCAAATTCATATTCTCCCAGAAATGAAAATGGTTTATTTTGCTGCCTCTAGGTAACTTTAAATTCAGGTTGAACTGGGTTCAAAATGCCAGACAGCAGTATAACTTTATAAAGGGTCAATATACACTATTTGTGCTTTAAAGAATCTACATCTGATCTATGATAATTCATTGATCATTTCAGATCTTTGATTATTAATAAAGCTGATCAAAATTGGTTAAAATGGCAAAAATAAAAAATAGTGGACCTGTCTGCCATGCTGTACGACTGAAGCCATTTGCAGGATTGTGTTGTCATTATTTGTGGACCTACGGAAAAAACTCAGCAACTATTGAACAAGTTCAAAGTTGATTTTCTACTCAAAGGTCCAGAACTTGAGTAAAAAATGCAGAGCACTCTAACTTAACATAAGCTTAGAATTTAATTTGTTAAGCAGGACGGGGGTCTGCTTATTTTCAGCCTGATCCGTTTCGACTTCATTAAGATAATGTTGTCATTTCTATTCTTAAAACTAAGATGGACATCGACTTCTGTGTGTTGCAGCTTTTGTGATGACATTACATGATGATAGTGTCGTCACTGCAGGCCGACAGTCTGAAACTTGGAGCCCATCAACAGTATGTCTACACAATGTGAGGAAATGGAGAAACAAATCTATAAGAACTGATTTTTTACTTTGAATTTCCAATCATGACTGAGTAATAATGTTTGCCTGATTATCAAAACAGCCTGAAAAAAACAGAACCTGAACAGAGCAGACCTGCACACTGCTGCATCCATAAAGCACAAACATGACAAAGATGATTCTGTTCCTGGCAACCATTTAGAGCAGCTCTGTTCTGAAAAAAATGTTTTGAATCATATCATTTTCTTTCTACTTCACAATTGTCTATTGCTTTGAGTTGGTTTTTCATATTAAATTCCAATTAAATATAATTATGTTTGTGGTTGCAATGTGAAAATATGAAACTATTTCAAGGGTATTGATACTTTTGCAACCCACTGTATATCTCTTTTGGGTCTCATGAACCATTGAAACTGTATGTTTTACACAAGACTGTAGGAAGTTGGATGGGGAATTTTTTCTCTCTCCAAGGAATACATCATGGAAATTCAGACAAGCAAACGCCTCTAATATTGGAAACTCTTGATGGAAGCCAGTCATGCCAACTCTTTCATCAGGATCCTTTGGGAAAATTTAGATTCTGGCCATGACCATGTAAAGTAAAACCAGTCTTTGTAAAATAACTAAGTTGGTTATTGTATATCCAACAGGATATATAGTGATATGTAGTAAGAATATATAAGCTCTTCCCACGTCCACCGGCAGAGGGCGCAGGCTGTTCAATAAAGCGCACGCGCACACGCTCGCTCACACCTGGGCTGCTCCTCCTCCGCCAAGCGCGCGCCATCCAATGAGCTGGGACCTCCTCCGCTCCGGCTCTCTGCGCCTCAGCCGCAGCATCATTCCCTTTCCCTAGCCTGGATCCCACTCTGCAGGCTCAATCCGGGAGACAGCTCACCATGGCTGACCTGGGAGAGGGAGAGGATGAGATCCAATTCCTGCGAACAGTAAGTCTGCGTCAGGTCCCTCCGCAGGCGGCTGTTGGCTGGGTGTCCACTGCGTCTGTGTGCGGTGTGGGATGGATGGTAGGGAGTTTACCGCATTAAGATGACAGCCCCGCTTCATACAAGTCATTGGTCTGGGAGTCCGCATCCTGCTGACAGGAGGAGGGAAGAGATGTGGGAATATAATGATGGAGGAAAAGAAGAAGGATGGTGAATGATGGTGAAGGTGTATAGTACAGCCAGCGGTAGTGCCATTGTTCCAAAGTGGAGTTTTGAGGAAGATCCAGCCTGTCAGTGGCGATGTGTGCATGTACTGGTGTACTGGGCGGGATGGTGCGGTGCAGTGCGGTGCAGCCTGCTGCAGCTGCCTCACTTCACTGAGTTTGTTTCCTGCAGTCAGGTGAAATCAGCTGCTGGGCTGCATGTCAAAAGACAGGAGCTGTTGCTTTACAGCATGCCACGCGTGAATCGTCACGTGAAGCCACTGCACCTATGGCTGCGGGCTTTTTAAGGGAAGCCACTGGCAAACATACAAAATGTTCTAAGACTTATTACGTAAGCCGATATGCAGTTTATTGTGAACTTGTCTGCTTCTCTGTCAAAACGTGCATGGCAGCTTTGTCACAAAGACACTTTTTGTTCTTTTTGCGAGGCCGTTAGCAGCTGATGAAACGGGGAGCTGACTGACTGCAGTGGCGTTGATGCTCGAAAACCTCCAGAACGAGATTATTGGTGGGAAATTTTGGGATGTGTTGATTTTAAAGCTGCACTGCACCACATGGATTTCCACTGAGTCACTTGACTATTTGTACAATGAATGATGTCTTTTAGAGGCCAAGACAAACATCAGACACTAACAATCACCCATAACTCTGCAGTCCTGTGTGTTCTGCTCCAGTCTGAGTTTGAGTTTCCATTCCTGCAGTTGGCAGCTGGCCACAGACACCAATCCAACAAATACTCAATTATATGTATGGTGTGTAGCTTCCATCCAGCTTCACATGATGTGAAGAACAGGCATCAAACTGAATAACCAAAGACAACAGAAAGACTCATCTTTACACTATAATAAGCACTACAACTTAAAAAAAAAATAGTCTGGAAATACAGACAAATTTCAATGGACAAGTTCATCTTTCATGAAAAAGTGAACTGTTGGTCATTACAAATCTCTCCACACAAATCTAAATCTACCAAATCTTTAGAGGCGAGTTAATTTCCCCATCACAAACTCATAGAACTAGAAGTTTGAGGACATTTAGATGTTCCCTTCCATGTCCTCAGCTGAGAGTCATACACACTGTAAAAAATAAAACGTAGATTTTATGGTAAAACGCCGGCAGCTGGGGTTGCCGAAATTCCACCATAAAATAAAGGAAACATATTTTACCTGTAATTGTTTTTTTATGGTTGAATTTTGGCAACCACAGCTCCCGGCGTTTTACCTAAAAAACGATTTTACCTGCATGTCATAATGGAGTCTAATTTCTTAACCTACATGCAGAACTCCAGGCGGAGAACAGAAATCAGTTAAATAAGTTTATTGTAAACACAAAATAATGATCAACAATCAGATTTTGGGGAAAGTCTGCAATCTGGATCACTGGAGCACTGGGAGGTAAAAAAAAGAGAGATGGTGAGTTCAGGGGTTGTTGAAAATGGCAGTGACAGACTAAACAGACTGGTCTTACTTGGGTGGAGGAAGGTCTTGTCCGGGAGGAAGAATCACTGTGGTTACCGGGGTTTGGTTCAGATGGAGGGTTGCTGCTTGACTGACCAAGAGGCTGCGGTGGAGGGCGGACAGGTAAGCTTTGGATCACAGAAGGTGAGGAGCGAGTGAGACTGATGATAGGGCATCCAAGGAGGTTTGGTTTACTCCAAAGGTGTCAGTGGAACTCTGGCAACCAGTGGGTCCACAGCATCACGAGAAATAACCCGAGGAAGAAGCACAAAGAGATATCACTTGAAGTCCACAACAGGAGATCACAGTGAGAAGCATGGAGGGCTGGAGTACCAAATACTGGCTAACTCTCTGGATCTGAAGTGTTGGCAGCTCTGTCCTCATATACTCCTCCAGATGGTCTGATTATTTGCAGCTGTGCAGGAATCCAGGAATCAATGGCAACGCCCTCGGGAGGGAACAGCCTCTTGGCACCCTCTGGTGGTAAAAAAGGGGGAAAGTAGCAAAAAGGAACCATTCCAACAACCCAGGTTTCCCAACACCGTAAATTGTTTTTATGGTGGAATTTCGCCAACCCCAGCTGCTGGCGTTTTACCGTAAAATCAAAGTTGTTTTTTTTTTTTTTTACATTGTGGGGTTCCCAGAATTCCACCGTAAAAAAAAAATTACACAGGCGACATGCGCGCCTGTCGCAGCGCCTCGTGCTCCTCTGGATGTTTGTAACTCGGCGCGGATCGCGCACGCCGCCGTTCACACAAACTGGAAGGTCTGGAAGATGGTCTTCCAGACGGCTACAAAGTGAACCCTTAAGAGCTCAGTGAATTCCAACCTGGTACCATAATGGAATCCAACCTGTTCAATACGCCCAGTGGGTTCATTTCTTCACTACTTCTTCACAGTATGGGTGCACCGATTGCAGCTTTCTGGCCAATTACAGAGTACCGATTTTTTATTTATCCTTCTTAGAGTTTTCCAGACAATACTGGAACACACAAAAACACACACAAATTACTAAAGTTTTTTTCGTACTGTCGTAACCATTAAACAATCTCCCCTTCAGTTCAACCTTATAAAGTAGAGACACATTGTTGATGTTACCATTATAAAATAACTTGCAATTAAGTATTGGCAGAGATCAATGTAATTTGTTGTTAGCAGCTGCTGAAAGTAACTAAAAAAGTTACTTTTAATGTAACTTGGTTACTTTCCAAATCAAGTAATCAGTAATCGAACCAAGTTACTTTTTCAAGGAGTAGTCAGTAATCTGATTAAAGTTACTTTTTCAAAGTAACTATGCCATCACTCAACATGACCTGCTGGTCCGGTCTATCAGTCAAACCTCTCATGGGAGAGCAGAGGACAGTGGTTGATTGTTAGACCTTTGCTGAGGTCGATGTGATAAGATATGTGAATAAAATCAGCTTCATATGTAAAAATCGCCCAGTCACTGATCTCTCTGTGATCAAAATTAAGGAAATTGTCACTGATAAATTAGTTGGCCAACAAATTGGTGCATTCCTACTTCAGTCAGCTGTTAGTGGCGTTACAAGAAGATGGTAGCTATTGGGAGAACAGCACTTACCTGACTTACTTAAACTGTTACTATTTTAACAGTTTCAAAATCAAATATACCTTAATCTGCAGTGTAGACTGTCTTAGCACTACCACAGCTAGCTTCCATGCTCTCGGCTTTTGTAGGGTACAGCCAATCAGCAGCAAGGAAAATAAAAGGATTGGCTCCTTTGCAAATTCTAGCCAATGGTGTGCACCTTGGTATTTTCTTTTTATTTTAGACATGCGCAACAAAAAATCCAGTCTTACAGACATTACTATTAAAAAATTGCAATGATTTAGAAATGACTTGGACTCATGTTCCACAGGAAAACCTGTATTCACTGTCTTCACAGTGAGTAGGCGGGATCGCTGTGTGGTTTTGGCTCTGAGGCCAGTCGAGCAGAACAACTGTGCTATGATGTCATTTTTCCGCTTTCCCTGATTTTCTTAATTTTGTGTGATCAGAGATCTGCCAATACTTACATGTGAAACTGATCTTTTCCGGAGATCTTCCTGAAAATCATCCACTGTTCCCATGAGGACCCCCCCCTCCCCTCCCCCCCCCACACACACGGTCACATCTAAACTTCATTTATAGAAGTTTATCTTGGACTCTTGTGCAGATAAAACAAGTTTGTATAGTTTCACGAGTATTATTGAGTGTTTCTGAATTGTTGTAGTCCAACAACAGATTGGAACGCTGAAGGCGCATTGTGGCCTCATAACAGTTATAAAAACTATATGGTATCGGCCAAAATGGGAATTGGCAAGTCAGGCTTTTTGAAGATCAGCCAGATAATTGCGGTCAGTGCACCCTAATATTTAATGGATGAATGATGAATCCAAGAATATTTGGCACTTTTGCATTATCCTTGAACAATGCCAGTAGCATAAGCTTCATGCAGTTTCCATATAAAATACAAAGCTTGTAATTTTTTTCTTTCTGGGTAATTCCATCTGATCAGCTAAAAATAAAAAATAATAATCAAACAATATTTAGCAGAAGCACACAGGTGCAACTGTTAATATTGAAATGAATTAACAACACTTGTTGGAGTACTTTAAGGCCTATATTTTTTTTTATTTAATTTTAAGTGCCGCCATTACTATATGACTACAAAGTCACTGTTGATTTTATGATGTTTGATTTCATGATGTAAAGCACTTGTTGCTGAAATATGCTATACAAATAAACTACCACAAACAAGTAAAGCCAGTATGACAATAAAAAATCCTTGAACCCTTTATTGCAGAAAATTGTAGTATCAGCAACTATTTTGCATGATTGATTTCCTCTGAAGGCGATCAGTTATTGTCCGATGTGTTCATGCTTTTGTTCATTTCCTCTCTGTTTTCCCTTTGATGTCCTGTAAAGCATGTTGCGTTGCCTTGTCTAGGAATAGTGCAGCATAAACAAGTTGTTTTGCTTCATTCTATCGTTTTGGTAGTTTTAGTAGTTTAGCTTTACTTTTTGTGGTTTCTTCACTGTCTCTAATAATGCACGTTGCATTTATTTTTATTTTTCATACAGTTGCTGCACCTCCTTGTTCCATCTTCTTGTTCTTCTAGCTGCTGCTGCATATCCTCATTACAGGGCATTAACTGTAAGTTGATGACAGAGCTTCTGCAATAAAGGTGGGATTCTTGGTTACTATGCAGACTGGTTCTCAGCAGGCCGTGAGTTGCCTCCTCAGCATGGGGTAGCCTCTGTGCCATGGCTGCAGTGTGAGTGCAGATCTTCTGGCAAAGCCTGTTAGCTGATCTGATT